ACCTCACTCTTCATGTTGCCGTCGCATTGCGAGCCCCCCCTTGCCACCCCCAAATCCGTCGTCAAGTCACTATTTCTGCTAGGTATGTGCCCTCTGCTTCCGTCCCTCTATTTCGAGGCACCATTTTCCTCTCCTGCGCGCTTGCTGCGTCGCCCTCACCGCCGCACCCCACGGCCGATCTGCGACAAACCCCGACGTCAGAGCTGACCATCAACCCGAACCCAGCTCGTCGCGATATCTCGCCGTCCCGAAAGCGAAGCCCCCGCGATCATATCAATCGTAACACGTCCATACGACTTTTTGCCGACCACGAGACGCATGCGAGGAGCGGGAAACACACCAGCCCCCGCCAATCCGTCCAGCATCGTTAAACTCAACGGCCCACCTCCGCCTCACCCATCGTCCGGCACGCGTTCCCCATGACGGCTGTTGCGAGTCCCCCTAGCTTCTCGACTCTCAATCGACCGGGATGGATTAATGGCGGCCAAGCGCTAAATTCGATGAACGCGGACGACCTACGAGGCGCCAATATGTTCGGAACTCGCAAGACCATTCAACGAACAAACTCTTCGTCATCAGTCTCGTCGACGTCTTCCAACTCGTCAACGACCACGGTGACCGCAAATGCTCAGACCAACGGCAACTCCATGCCCGCCGCTGGAGATTTGAGTGCCTGGTCTAGTACAGCACCACGGAAGCGGCCCCAGCCAAAGGTTCAGTGGCCCAGTGGGAAACCGGAAGGGGCACAAGAATTCTCCCGACCGACTCCGGTCCGCCCGCCCGCGGCTAACGGTGTAAACGGGGCATCAGTTACGCATCAGCCTCAATCCATTTTAACCCAACAGAATCAAATTATGTCTCAAAATGGCATCTCGCGCCCGAGCACAGATGGCATGGGTCCGGGGAGGCAACCCGTGCTTTCCTTGCTATCCCTCAATGGCACATTTGACCGAAAGACGATATCCGTCCCGTTCTACCCAGATACCCTCCGAATTGGGCGCCAAACGAACGCGAAAACTGTACCAACTGCAGTCAACGGTTTCTTTGACAGTAAAGTGCTGTCAAGGCAACACGCTGAGGTGTGGGCGGACGGAAGCGGCAAGATTTGGATTCGAGATGTGAAGTCGTCGAACGGCACGTTTGTGAATGGAACACGACTATCTCCCGAAAACCGGGAGTCGGAACCACACGAGCTGCAACCTCAGGATCATCTTGAGCTGGGAATTGATATCGTCAGCGAGGATCAGAAGACGGTTGTGCACCACAAAGTTGCTGCCAAGGTTGAACACGCTGGCATGGTCACCCCGTCTAATAACCTGTTGGAGATGAACTTTGGGGACATTGACCCCTCCAACAATGTCTTGATGTTACCTGTGGCTGGTGCGCCCCCGAGAGGGCGATCTGGAAGCCAAGCCTCCCTAGCAGCAAGCAACCGCATGGCTCCCAGTAATATGGGAGGCCCGGTCAATGGAATGGCACAGCAGCGGCAATACTGGCTGAACCCAATAACAACGGAACATATTGTCAAGAAACTTCAAGTAAGTACTCGACTCGGTAATGTGTCAAAGTCGCAATGCTAACTCACGCCTTCAAGACTGAAATGCGCAATGCGCGCCTCCAGAACCAGGACCTTGCTCGGACCAGTCATTTTATCAACGCGCTCTTGTCCAAAGAGGATGTCAAGAATCTTGACAAGCCCGAAGCCCCCGAACCACCCAAGGCCCAACTCACTAATGGCAATGTGTCTTTCCGGTCCGATGGCAGCAAGACGCGATTCTCAGAACCACCTGCTCCACCCCCATCTCAACCACTTCCAGAAAAGCCAGATATTACTCGGCCGGCGTCGTCCGAGATTCCGTCGCTCAAGCGGGGCACCACGGAGCGACCAAAGTCCCACCCTTCCAACACCTCGCCTATTGGCCCCGACAAAAGCCAGAACCAGATCCTGCAACTGACCGAAGCCCTTTCTAATGCCAAGAAGGAGCTCGATAACCACAACGCCCGTGTGCTGCATCTTGAAGAAATGTTAAACAAGGAGCGCGAAGCCAGGATTGAGGCAGAGCAGATGATGCATAAGATGGAAGAAAGCTCCCACACGAAGATGAATGGCTCAGCTGAAGCTCCCTTGGTTAATGGCCACTCGGAGCTGGATAAGGCGTTCGACCCCCCGGCCGAGCCGGCCGCAGTGCCCGAGGCCGAGATACCCGCAGGCCCCTCGGAAGATAGTCCGCCCTCTCAGCCAGATAAGGTTGAGGCGCTAGCTGCCGTCTTCCAAGCCCGCATAGACTCAATGACTGTGGAGATGACAGGGTTGAGGGAGCAGCTCGAAGCTTTTAGGCAGCGGGCTGAGAAGGCTGAAGCCGAGCGGGATGTTGACCGCAAAACTCTAGCCGAAATGGTGCAGCAGATTCGGGAACGCGACGAAGAAGAAAAACGAGCAGCGGAACATAAATCGCACTCGTCATCCAAGGGCAGGTCACGGCCTGTCAGCCGGAACAAGAACTTGGAGGAGCCACCTCGGATGCTTAACGGGGCCGCGGTCGAGTCATTAATACAGCACGATGGACCTACAGATGACCCTGTGGAGGTGCCTACGCTCTCACGGGCAAATACCATCACGCCAGCGTCGAGAACGCTGACACGCGGGCCACAAGATCCGGCCGTAATGCAAACCCTTCCCTATGCGAGCATGATCGGGGTGGTTCTTATTGGGATGGGCCTGATGGCGTATCTCAACGGCTGGCAACAACAGCCTAGACTGGACCGCTAGGCCACAGTAGGAATTGGCGACGATTTTATTCTGTGGTCTTGCATTTCATAGAGGGCAATGACAAGCCATTCAGGCGGCTCTGCTACGACCATGTTACCGACGTTGGACGATTATGATGATACACCGAGCCCTTGTCGCTGATTTGACCTACGAACGATTGGGTGGCCTCAGACTCGTTTATTTGTTTCCTTTGTACCGGATATAGCAGCACCATTACCTACTACTCTTCATTCTAGCCGGCGATGACAGGTTCGTCTATTGACACCTGCTCGCCCCCCCCCCCCCCCCCATTCCCGCTACATGTATCATGCACGCACATTGCAAAGTTTTTGGTTTTGTTGCTTTGCGCAGTTTTGGGAGTTGTCAGGTGGGTCACATTCAAGGGGTTGGGCGGTCCTGGGTTTGTTGGAATCTGGTGCTTGTTTATTCTTGGCTGTGGTTTTTTTTTTCTCCAGCTTGTGTTTTGCGCTTACGTTTCCCCTCCCTGTCGTCCTCGTCTCCATCGTATATCCCTCGAGAGCGAAGGGAGAGGAGGAAAGAGGCCAGTCATTTGATGCGTCGACATCCCACCCTGGTATGGCGTGAAACAACAATAGTCAAAGTCCAAACGGTTTATAGGGTGTCTGGACTTGACGAAAGAAGAGGAAATACCACACAAAATGAAAGAGACAGTGATTTTGTTCCATGGCGGGATTTGCTAACATTGGGCCCCTGAAAATTATATCCTTGCAGTTGAGGGGGGGAATGTGTTGGGCATTTGAAGCGGGCGAGTGGGCTTTCGGGAGAGGCTGGAGGCTTAGCTTAGCATACATATCAGCATTCGGGCTGCAGTGTTTTGTGAAATTGAGGCTGGGATGGTTGTCTTGATGTTTCGTTTTGTGTCTTGTCCTGATATGATGGCCGGGTTTTGGTGAGGTTCCTTTGCATCTATGGATTGGTGGACAAAGTCATCCCACCTTTGCCTTGGCTTGTAGGCAGTTTGCAATGAAGGATATGTGTACGTACTACTTGGGTGTGATATTGAATGCTGTATGTATCCCGGCAAAGATAAAGAGCCAAAATGAAAGCCCCCTAGAAGGGCACTGAAGGCATGTTGCTACACATCTCTCCTGCTGGGAATTGAACCCAGGTCCCGAGCGAAATCGTGAAGATGACAAGCTCATATACTGACCACTATACTACAGAAGAATCCTTTTGAAAGGTAGCTTAATCAAGGCGTTTTTGGGTGGGTTGCGGTGGACCAGCTACTTGGATATGCTGTTGTGCGAGTCCCCTTTTTGTTGACTTTGCCCCCTAGCATGACGTTCAAATGCGGAGCCCCTGAGAAGCAAAGCACAGCACCACATGTTGTTTGTACGGAGTCATTCTCAACTACAGTATGTTATTGACACCCAAGGCGCAACATGGCTTACAGTTAAAAAAGCCCATGATGTCTGAGTCGTCTCGACCCGTCTTCAAGCTCCCGATTTTGAACCTTAGGTCTAGACTCAGGGCCAAAGTAAGGAGAGTGAGCTGCACCCCAGGTGCCCTACCGGCCTAGTTATTTTACACGGAAAGAGGCCAGGTGGTACCCCCTATCTCAGGTATGCCCCGCTCATGCATATCTCCTTTCATGTCCGTGGCAAGTACGGCTTTGCGTTTGAAGAAAAAAAGTGGCAGGAGCAAAATACTACAAATCCCCCCCTCGCCAGAGAAATTCGTTCTCTCTTCTTTTAACTCCTTCCTCTCCCGGCTTTAGCTCAAAGGAATTCTCGCGCCGTTACTCTAGTATTTAGTTCGTTATCTTCATGTCTTTCTTTGCCCATTCCGTGCTATGTTGCTCACTTGGGTCATGGGTTGAATACCCAGCCCAAACAAGATAAATGCAGCGACATCCTCCGAGCCGCTCCCAAGAAGTTCCTATGGTACAATCAATGTGTTTGTTTCGTCCCACAGTGCCGGCCACTGGGTCAGATGCGTCACACTTCCTACATCCACATGTACTTACCCGCCTACCCCCCTATCCCATCATTGGCCGTTGCAGTAACCATACTATGCAAACACCTGTACCAAGGCGGACTTGAATCTCCACGTGCAATGATCGGTTTCAGCAGGCGAAGCTGTCTGTGGGTTAGGATGGAACACAGGTGAAATGTCTCAAAACCAATCCATTGGAATGCCCGGGAAGGAACGACCACAACCATCCACCATAAAGATCAGCTAATGTGGCCAGCATCCATACAGGACAGCATCCCATATAGTGTAGAGGTTTAGCATTCCGGATTTTCAAGTCTCTACTTGGTACTTCCGGCGACCCGGGTTCGAACCCCGGTATGGGAAAACATCGCCTTTTTGCACCTTTCTGTTCCTATTTTTTATGTTTACTCGCTGCATTGTTCTACACTTACCTGGTATCTTTGCTGACAGTTCCGCCCAGTATTACGATTATTTGCAAGAGTCACAGAATGCTCACTCGCAAGCGATTAGCAGGCGACAATACCTACCGAGTCAGACGCTCACCACCCTTGCACCTCTCAACATCACCCACCATGAAATGGAACAGAGCAATCGCTCTCCAAGCACCTAGATAGTAAGCACACCCTGCAAGTTCCGCAGACGACTCACCAAAACTCGTCTAGCCCCCCCCCTATCCCTCCACAACCACCCACTCATCCACAACCGAGCTCTCGGGCCTCACCACCTTGACCCGCACCTCCTCCCCGCCCGCCCACGACCCCTCCAACAGCTCGCAACACGCCCCCTTGCGATGCACCCGGCACTGGGAGCACAGAAACTCCCACCGCGAGTTGGGCGACGAGCAGCTGCAGCACGTCCAGTAAGCGTCGCGACTGAGATAGCCGACATCACTCTGGCGTTTCAGGTGGCCGGCACTAGCAACACCGGTATCGTTGCCAGCGCTACCAACCGGGGGACGGAGGCGCGAGCGCCGCGGTGGCGGCGGCGTAGGGGGCCGCGGCTCAGGATGGGGCGCTGCAGCAGAACCCTCGTCGACGGCGCCGCGGAGCCGGCCCTGGGGGCGCTCGACGCGGGGTTCAGCGGGCGGCGGCTGGCGGATGAAGAAGCCGATCCAGCGCTGCTGCCTCTCGGCGCGGGTGCCGGTCGGGAGCGGGGTGGGGAGCGGGAGCGGGAGCGGGAGGGGAGCGGCGAGCTGGGAACGACGCTGGATCTGGAATCGGACCCGCAGACGCCCGCGCTGTGTCTGGAGGCGCCGGGCCTCGGTGGTGCTGATCTCGTCGTCGGAGTGGGTGGACGTGTTGGGGTTGGCGCTCGTAGCTGGCGCGTGTTCGGCATGTTGGGTGGTGGGCTTGCGGGCCCGGTGGAAGAGGGAGGATAACATCTTGGGTCTGTCTCGGTTGCTGAAGGGTGAGCCTGCTAGAGTGGTGGTCGGCAATGATAAAGCTATTGGCACTCCGAGGCTTGTCGAGCTAGCAATTCCGAGGAGCTAGGAACTAGAGGGGCGGGTGGATTTAAGGATAACAACAACCCCATCGTGTTCCTGGACATGCTGGCTGCTTTATGGGAATCCAGATGAATAACCTCCAGTCTGAAGAAATAGGGGGGCAGCTACAGGGGTGAATGAAGGGAAACAAAGGTATTGTCTGAGTCGGGAGCCCTACCGTGTTCTTTGTTCATTGTCGAAAGTTTTGGGCTGAAAGAACCGACCTGTAGTCACTCTCTTGACCATGAAGCTGAAAGATGAGACTCGGTGCTTGTTCACTTCTCGGCACAGGGACTCATGACTAGAAGTGAAAATGCCATTGCATTCGCGACCGTGCGCCGCTGTCAGCCGCAACGAAATTGTTAGAGAGAAGCCCTCCAACTCCAGCCGAAGCGCCTAGAACTAGGGTAATTTACAAGATACCATGACAAACCAGACAGAAGCTAGTAACCCAGCGCTATTCTAGGACGTAACCGATGATCCTAGGAGCAGATACCTAACACAACCCTCATGCCCTTCGCTAATGCATCGTATCTCACTCGAGGACCTAAGCCAACGGCTCTCCCTTCAGTATCACAACTCCCGGTGCCCAGAATCGAACCCGCTTAGATAGCCGGCGTATCCGGCGTCGGAGCTTTTGCGATCTCTGACGCTTCTTTGTCCGCTCGAGGTACGCCGTGACTTCTTTTTGCTGGCACATCTCCTTGGCCAACAGCTTCTTGCGGCGAGCCAGTATCTTCGACATCATCATCCAGGTGTCGAGTGGCTGACCCATCAGATACGTTGGCATGGACTTGATGAACCGAGTCAAGTGGCTTTGCTGCTTGATCCGCCTCTCCTTCTTCGCCAGGCGTCCCCACTGAGGGTGCCGAGGTGCCTTCTTGTGGGCTTTCTGAGATGGCTTGGTGTTGGCCGACTTCGGCTTCTTCACCCGAACTGGGAAGGACACTGCCCACCTTGTTAGCCTCAACGTGATCAGCTAGATGAAGTACCTCGTCCACCTGGTCAGCGAGACGGGTGACTTCGTCTTGCAGCTCCGCCTCACGTTTCTTCCTACCACTCAGCTGCCGTTGGGCTTCTTCCTCCCCGACCAGGCTCCGCCACTCAGCCTCTAGGTCCTCGCGCCAACCCAGCAGGTCGGCCAGCTCGCGCACGCCTGCGTCGCAGTCGCCAAGCGCGAGAACATCGTCGGCCTGGGTACCCAGGGACCCCACACGCTCCATGTTGAACAGGACCCGGGGCACGCCCTCGGGGACGTAGTTGGGCAGGCCGGCGAACGGATGGACCTGCAAGCTGGTGCCCATGACGAGGGCCAGGTCGGCCTTTTCGACCAGGTCCTTTCTCTCATAGAAAAGTGACGGGAGAGCCTCGTGGAAGAAGACAATGTCGGGCTTGACCAGACCGCCGCACTCTGTGCCGCGGATGCAGCGCGGCACGTCGGCACGGGCGACGTGCTCGCGCATCAGGTCCTCGGGGTAGGACGTCTTGCATTCGATGCATCGCTGGCTGGCGAAGCTGCCGTGGGCCTCGACAATGAGCTCGCTCGGGATGCCGGCGGCACGCTCGAGGCAGTCGATGTTCTGCGTGAAGAGTTGATGCAGCAGGCCCTTTTTGGCGAGCAGGCTGATGAAGACGTGCGAGACGGTGGGGTGGAAATTGCCCGGGTAGAGGTCCTTGGCGAGCACGTAGAAGGGCTTGGGGTTCTTCTCGAAGAAGCGCAGGTCGAAGACGGCCTCGGGCTCGGGCAGGTTGAGCTTGGCGAGGTTGGCATACAGGCCTGTCTCCGGCGAGCGGAAGTCGGGGACTGGGGCGTGTTAGCATGGTGCGTGGGTGGGATGAGAGCAACGACACGTACTGCCTGCGGCGGTCGAGATGCCGGCGCCCGTCATGACGACAACGCGGCGGGCCTGTCCGGACTTGATATACTCGGCGACGGCGGCGAGGCTGCGCTCCCGCAAAGTCTCGGAGGGGGTGTCATCATTGATGACGGACTGGTCCTGGCCCATCTTGCGCCTGGGCGGCTTCTTGCCCTTCTTGCCCTTCTTTCTGCCCCTGCCTCTGGCTTTTCCCTGGACGCGAAAATCGGCGTAATCGTCACCGTCGTCAAATTGGCTTCCGTTGGCGCGGAAGCGCTCTCCTTGGTTTCGGCGTCCTATCTTGGCGGCTCTCGGGTTCCTTCTCTCGCGCGCGTGTGGAGAAAAGACGGGGGCGGCCGGTGGCAAGTTGCGAGAGCAAGATTTTTACACGAGAGAAAGAAAGTGCAATTAGCCTCTCACGAATACTTTCTTTGAGCGGAGAACTATGTGAAACCGACAAATAATGGCCAAGATGCTATCCAAAAAAGCGGAGCGTGAGGGCTGGTTGTCGTCGGGGGGGTGGGGGCGTCGTCGGGGGCGATGCGCGGTCCACGGTGCGATATGATGTGCAAGCGATGTACGATGGATGCATCCTTTGAGCCTCTCGGTGTGACTGCTGAGTCTTATCGTCCACCACAGAGATTTGATCCTGCCATGTTTGCCCAGCGCAGCGGGGCAGGTGGGGGACCCGCGAGGGGCCTGGTCGCCCTGAAACACAGGGTTCTATGACGGCCGAAGCGACCATCAGCGACCCCTCCAGCGACACTGAGCAACTCCAACCTACCTCCCTACATTGGACGTTCAGCCCGGTTTCTCGCTACCTGATTAGTATATCCATGCCAGGTGCCAGGGTTATCGGCTCCATGTTTTATTTGCATGGAACTGGTGCAGATGCGGATCAAAGTCAAATAGCTTCCACCTTTCGGGTACCCGGCCCGAGCCATAGTTCAGCTTCATATTCCTGAGCAAAATTGCCAAGGCTTCTATCGACGAGTTTCAGAATCACCTTGGTAAAAGTTGAGAGTTCAATGACATAAACCCTTTGCCACTAACCCAAGCATTGAAGTGAAATGCAGTTGTGACCAGACTGCAGTGGAGTAGGCATATGAAAGAGACCTCGCATGATGTGTCCGTGTGCTCGCAATACTATTAATAGTCCTTTATGTCTGTAAAGTACCAGTAGTCGCTGGAGTTGTAAGCCAAGGCAGCTTGATTGGATGCGGCCTTCAAATTGAACCGCATACCTTTCTCTAACTCTACGACATCCGCAGTGTTGCCTGGGGCTCTGGCTTTAAATGCGGACCGCACTCTCTTCAACCTCTCAGCTCCAGGCTTCTCCCCCCCCTCCCCTCTCCTCAAACCCATCGCTTCCCCGCCCGCCCAGTACCTACCACCACCATGGCCGAAGCTCAGCAAGGTCCCCTCAGGACCTACCGCGGCAACTGCCACTGCGGCGCTTTCGTCTACGAGGTCGAATTGCCCGAAATCAAGTCGGCCGCCGAATGCAACTGCAGTATTTGCCTGAAAAAGGGCTATCTGCACCTCTTTCCCCTCTGGGAACACTTCAAGATTGTGAAGGGCGACGAGAGCACCCTGGCGGCCTACACGTTTGGCCCTGGGGCTATGATTCACAAGTTCTGTCCCACCTGCGCCACCCCTGTCATGGTCAACCGGCCAGGCCTTGCAGCGGGCCAGCGCTTCTCTCTGAATGTACCTTGCCCAAGCCGGTGCATATCAGACACCGTAGGCAGTCGCTGATCAATTGTGTTGCTAGGCCCGTGCCATCCAAGGGCTCAATAAATGGGAGCTGGAGCGCCAACAGTACCTTTTACCTAGGTATCGAGAAAGGCCAAATGCTGACTGACAGCTTCAAGGTCTGACGGAAAGGCGCGCGGAAACCCCTACCAGGCCCCCGAGTACAACGGCTCCAAGCCCTCGGCCGAGATCGAGAACGCAAAGCTGTATTCCGGAAGCTGCCACTGCGGCGCCGTTACCCTTGCGCTGAAAAGCGTGCCCCTAGATAA